TGAGTGTGAGTGTGAGTGTGTGTGTGTGAGTGTGTGTGTGTGTGTCTGTGAGTGAGTGTGATTCACAGATCCATGAGCTGATCTCTGATGTCATGTGATCAAGCAGAAGCGGTTGCTAGGCGACTGCTGTGTTAATGACACTGCTGCTGCTTAATTAAGATCTGCGGATCTTCTGGTGTTCTGGTGTGTCACATTGGTTATGTAAGGCTGAGAGTGTGTTGTGTTGATCAGTGAACTGGACATGTTTCATTAGCGTCTGCTGCTGATCCCTGCAAACGCTCGTTATTCTAATGACTGCAGCGCTCGTTAAGACTTTCTTTCTTCTCTCATTTTACTTCATCTACTTCAACTTTTATTGAAGAACAGAATTCAGTCTCTGGAAAACCTGGATATATGAGAGAATATGTGATCACTAGAGCTGGGAAAGAAATTAATCAAATCTGACAACATGTATGGAAATTAATTAATTACAATCTGATAAAATGTGTGGAAATTAAATAATTAATAAAATCTGACAAAATGTATGGAAATTAATTAATTATTTAAAATCTGACAAAGTGTATGGAAATGAATAAAATGTGACCAAAAGTTATTGAAATGATTAAAATCTGACAAAAAGTCATGAGAATTAATTAATTGATATTTGACATAATGCATGGAAATAAATTGATTAATTTAAATCTGACAAAATTTATGGAAATTAATGAAATCTGACAAAATGTATGGAAATGAATTAATTAACAAAACCTCAATAATAAAAAAACAATAAAATCTGGAAAAGTCATGGGAATTATTAAAATCCTAAAGTCACTGAAATGAATGAAAAGTGAAACAGTCCTGTAAAAGAATCAGCTGAAGAGTTAAACTCACTGATGTTAGTGTGTGTGTCTCAGGCGAGTCATCATGAATTACCTGCGCAGGCATCTGTCGGACAGCAGCTTCGTAGCTAACCTTCCCAGCGGCTACATGATGGACCCGCAGCGTCCACCTGGCCCCGGCCCCGGGCCCCGAGGGCTTCCTCAGCTCCTTCTCCAGCGTGGTGAAGACGGCTCAGATCGCCAGCGCCGTTCAGGCCAAAGCCTCCGCCGCTAAACCCAAGCGTACGCAAACCCAAAGTCCTGCTGGTCATCGACGAGCCGCACACGGACTGGTGAGAGACTCATTTACACTGACGCTGAGGATCTGATCTAAACCAGAACATAACATGCAGAGTTCACTCAGGGTCTCAAGGTGACTTAAAATAAGAACAAGCAAGCTTTAAAATAGGATCAACTGTTCAAAACCAGATTCAATTGGAATTTTCCCCTCGACAACTGCTGTTTTTAATTAGAATAGAATTGTTTAATGAAGATGGATAAATAAAAATGAGATTTCTAGACCTGGAAAAGTCATGGAAATTAATAAAAAAAAAAAAAAGTT